TGCTTTTCTCTCACCTCTATATATTTAACTCTTAACTCTAAATTCTGCACAGGTCTTCATAAACTAATATTTTTTATCAATAAAGTTTCAAGTTGTAATCCAAGTATTCAGTTGGCACTCAGCCTGTGGCACTGATTTTACAAGGGTCAGTGGTTTTCCTATCAACGAAACATATAAGATCTAATATATCAGCAGTCTTCAGAAATGATAAAGCAGAGCCCACGGAATTGTGCACCACAGTACAACAGCTCAGCTGCTGAGATGCTGTGCTGACATCTCCTACCTTACCAACCTGGTATGAGGTCTTCATGAGTCAGTATGTCACAGGATCCAACAAATGCCATGCAACAACAAGTAATCAACCTCCACAACTTTTAAACTGAAAGAGGGTAGATTTAGATTAGCTATAAGGAAGAAATTCTTCCCTGTGAGGGTGCTGAGGCACTGGCACAGGTTGCCCAGAGCAGCTGTGGCTGCCCCCTCCCTGGCAGGGTTCCAGGCCAGGTTGGACAGGGCTGGGAGCAACCTGGTCTAGTGGAAGGTGTCCCTGCCCGTAGCAGGGGGCTGGAACTAGATGGTCTTTAAGGTCCCTTCCAACCCAAACCATTCTGTGATTCTATGATAATGTCTAGCCAGGTAGCATGCGCATTTTACACAGCCAGCAATTCCATAGTGGAGTCCAAGACCATGAGAAAAGAAGTTGTAACAGAAACTTGTATCTTGACACAGGCCAGGAAATAAGAGGTGTTAAGGCAAGGAGCCCTGCCTAGGCTTGCTGTGCTGCAGGTCTGCTGGCACCTGGCCCTGCTCGTGGCGGAGCCGGGCTCACACCATGGTGCCCTGGCCTCAGGCCTGTTCCATCACTTCGCACTTGCCCAGCGAGCAGTGGGACTGCTGTCTGACGCTGGCTACTGTCACCAGACCTGCTCTGCACAGCGTATTTGGGCACCGTGGGATTGTGTCTGCATGGGTGCTGTCCCTCCCCTGCCTGCCTTGCTTCGCCTTCAAGCTGGGTTCCGCTTCCCTGGCAGGGCAGCCAGCTCGTGCTGCTCCCTGGCACTCAGGATGGGGGGGGAAGGGGCAGGGAGGATGGGGATAGGGACTGGGGTGGGAGAGGAAGACTGTCACAGAAAATAGAGTGCTCTTCAAGTCAATGAAATACTGAATATCCCAAATAAAGAGAAAACCTAGAAAGTTGATATAAATATTCAAATACGTTCAGTAACTGGAGCAAGAGCTACAGAAGGAAAATCCAGAGACTTTGACTACTTGGGCTGCGGAGGTGAGAGCAAGGCTATCTGCTGGGGGGGAGCTGTGAGCCTCGTCCGCCCTGCACGGCCACGGAAAGTCTTTTCACTGTGACTGGAGCAGAGCAAGGCATTGCTTAATAGTGGAAATTCTTCACTGTCTTTGGAAGTAGGCATAACTCTATGGAATAATTTATTAATGCCATTTAAGAAATTGAATTCCTGCTCCGTGAGAATTTTATTTATGCTAAATCAATATATGAAGTCAGAATTTCATTTCATTGCTGAATAGAAATTATATTAAGAAAGCAGCATAGAAAAAGGAAACACTTAATGATACTGAACTGTTCTAGTCTTGAAGTGGTTTCAATGACATAACGATATATATAAAAATAATATATTTAAATATTTCAGAAAAGAGCAGGAGTAAAAGGAAGTACAGTGCTAAACTTAGAACAAGATACTGTTATTCTCAAAATGACATATTAATGTTAGGAAAATAGGATGAAAATTATTCATTATTTCTTTCTTAAAAAAATACCAAAATTGACACTTTTTGCAAGCGTTAACTTTATATTGTAATTTTTGTACCATTTTTTCTCTGCACTTGAAGAACATGCACATTGACTTCTATTGCAACATCAGGAGCGCTGATGAATAATTTTTAGTAACCACTGGTGCCAACACCGATTTAGTCTGTGACAACATTAGCACTCTGAATGCACACAGTCTCCTGTACCTCATCTGTAGTTTATTTTTTTTCAAATTCAGTTTTGAAGACCACTCTTACAAAGCCCAACAGCCACACAATCCAATATTGTCTCAGTGCTGGACTGCCCCCCACAAAAAGTTAGCACAGACCCACCACATCATCCCTGTTCCTCCTATTTTTTTTTTTTTTTTTTAAACTGAGCAGCTGCCAAGTCAACAACTCACTGATTTCTGGTTGAGGATGTAATCTCACACTTAAGGCTCTGGATGACGCATGTGCATGCACACGCACGCACGCACTCCCTCACTCTCAGCTAGTTCTAGATGTTGGATAGTCACAGTCTCTGCAGTGCTGTATAACCAAATGTCCTCTTCGTTACCTCAAATGGCTCCACATTACTGAAACGGAGCAAGCAGAATGCATTGCAGGGCTGCTCTGAACGGGGCAAAGGCATTTGAAGAGTTTTAGCACAGCCTGGCGGGTGAGCTCTGGAAATACAGCAGTTGCACCCCAAGGACTCTGTGGAGTACTGATGCGTGAGAGCTCTGGGTCCCAGCTAACTGCCAGGCAAGTCAGGCTATCACGAGATTTCATCTCCAAAATCAAAAATTTGATGCTGAGTGCTAAAATTGGAACAAAGAAAACATCTTTCTTATTTTTTCCTCTATAAGTTAGATAGTCATACGACTTTGTTAGTACTGTCAGCCACAGTGCTGCGCAGCTGTGAGAGTCAAGAGACAACGAGCTGTAAATAGGTATATGCCTTTTCCTCTGAAAAAGGTTTATTATGTTAATTTCAAAAATTCAGTAGCACTATGGATTGCTGATGCTGACAACCCTGAGTCTGAGGACATAACTATTTAATAAAAACCTGTTCTTTACTAAGGTTAAAACAATAAAACTAATAGTTTAAAATAACTTGTGCTAAGTATCCATTCTAAATAATTATTTTTTTTGTCCCTGGAAAGGAAATCTTTTAGTATAAACTTGCTTAGCATTTCATAGTCATCATCTTTCTTTCATTTGCATTGAAAAGAAAGATTAATTTATAAAGCTTTTGTGTAAAACTTTGTTTCTACATTCCTGTACCTTTAGAATTATTGGAATCTGTTCTTCCTGAGAAGACTTACGTTTTTTCTGAAGTAGAGCTGCTACATATAGAAATGTGTTGTACTCTGTAGCTGAAACTTTCCTTTTCTTCTATTTCCGTTTTCCCTGGTCTAAAACACAGCACACTGGCTCCTGGCAAACAGTTGCTTTACGTATGGAAAAATAGCTGTGGTACAGCTGTGTAGAGCCCTCGGGGAGTTTCCGATATTCATTTAGAGGCAATCTGGAGAATGTACAATGACAGAAAAACCAAGCCTTTACAAAAGCAAGATGCCTTGTCAGAGAGATAAGCATTGCTACTGGAGAGTTATTCTGAGGAATGTTAAACAAAGGATATAATTTCCAGCTTCATGAGACACCTGTCTTGCGCCACTATTCTTTCTTACTTTCTTTGTCATCTCGCACAAACAAACAGCTCGTGATGTTAGTATTTGACTCCCTGTTGTAGCTCCCAGCTTCATCGCCATGTGTCACAGACTCACTGCCCGGCTCCGCTTGTGCCTCTCGTACAAGATTTAACAGGTTTTCTGTTTTGCAGCAAAGCTTGAAACCCACCGCTTGCTTCGCTCCTCTGGCAAACCTCCCCCCCAGGTGATGCCCTGACAGTAGCAGCGAGAGGTGGGGCCGGGGCTGGCGGGGACCCTCTGGACCTGGTCTGGCTCCTCAGGCTCCCTCCTGTGCCCCCCAGCCCCTTCCCAGCAGATCCGTTTGGAGTGAGGGGAAGAACGGGCTGCCTTCCCCAGCGGGCCGAGAGCCCACTGCCGCCGGCTGGGGATGCGGCAAGGGTGAGTTCGCGGACCCCGTCTGCACGTACGGGTGGGGAGGGGAGCAGGCACAAATGCGCCCCGCAGGAGCCCAAATGCAGCAGTGGAAGCTGGGCTGCGGGAAATCAAACACCTCCTGGAACGGCATCCCTGACTGCCACGGCTCAGTGCGCTGGCCGTTTTTTGTGTTGTATAACATTTATTTCAAGAACCATGATGTGGCTGATATTCATAATCTACAGCCTCTGAAAAAAAATGTAACATAACTACCTTTTTCATTACAGAGCACAAGAAACTTAAAACCCTAAACAGAAGCAAACACACAGTTCATTCCCCACTGCAGTTACCTTCAAAGCAGAATCTTGTGGAGACTCTGGGATCCTTCCTCTCCCCTATCTTCCCACACCAAATTCTACTAACACAGCACTGTCACTTTTCCATACCCACTTTGCTACCAGCTTCCACCCGGCAAATTGTGGGAGAAGCCCAGTCCCTTTGGTCACATAAGCCCTTGATTACCTTCATCTGCTGCTCAAAGTCCTCTCCCAGCTGATCTGTTGCTTAGTTATTTTCATCCTGGACTTCAGACTATAAAACATTTTCGAGCAGCAGCTAACTCTTGGCTTGAGGCAGTGGTTAGCAGTCTTTGTGCAGCTTAGCTCTACTTAGGAAAATAAACGTTTTGCATCTTACTTCACGTTTGCTTCGCAGCTTTTACTCTATGCCACCTCTCCAGCCTGCTACAATGTTGTTCTTGCCCCAACAAAGCCAGGGCAGTTGTCTAGCAGAATTTACTAGTTTGGACTTCATGCTTCACCTGCAGGATGCTTCACTGTGTTCCTGGAAGACATAAAACTAAGCCTACAAGTGAGTAAGCCAAATGAGTACAGAGCATCCAGCATAATGACCTTCTATAAGCTCTGTGACACCGCCCCATGGATTTCTGAAATTCAGATGACAATAGAGAAGGCATAAAACCATCCCTGGTACATATAGAGTTCCTAGAAGCAGTCAGAACTTCTAAACTGTGTTAAGAAAGGCTCCCTCAACTGTCGCACTGGGATTTAATGAACTTTAATTGTACTAAGTGTTATTTAATTTGAAAATAATTCAAAGCCAAAAGCTTGGTTTATCCCCTTGTGACTATAAAGAACTTTACTCCCAAAGTGGTTTACACTGGGCACATGAGTGCAGTTTTAATGAAGGGCTCTGTTTCTCTGATTAGGCTAATAATGAAGACATGAACAAAGCAAAATTTAACATAGTTCAGGACTTTCAAAATACACGCACAAATCTAGTGCTAACCTAGCATGCATTTAAAAAAAAAATAAATATGCAATCAAATGAACATTGAAGTAATTCTAGAAAACAATATAAACAGAACAAAATCCTCTAGAATTTTTACAGCCCAAGTGCTGCAGGAGCTTAAAAAACTACAGAACCATTTTTCGAGGAATTGAGTGTATGAGTGCCCTCAGATTTACACAAAATGAAAATTTGGGCCTAATTTTTGATTTGGGAAATATTTTCAGTTATTCCTAAAAGTGTGACTAGTATCTGTCTCCCACACTCTTACAGTAGGTAGCTGTATTGACCTCTTTATTTTACTACCTGAACTAGCTAAAGAGGCTTTACAGTGGCCAAATCTTAGAAGAAGAAAAATAAATTAATTGTTCTCTGTCATCCAGTGAGCACCAGTGAGTCAATCTGCATCCAAGGCTCTTCATCCTTTTGATCTTCAAAGGTATGCTAAAAATTTGCAATTTTGACATGTTCCTCTAAAAATAGCTGACAGGCTTTAGGCCTACAATTTTTTTAGATTATCTTCACATTTAGTCTCAAAGCATTTTTCTCCACAGGTGACCCTCTCAGCTTTGGTAGTTTATCCCCTAGCACAGCTTCAGCGGAAAAGGCAGCTCAGGGAAATCCCACTGCCTCTGTGACTTTTTGCTGCCACTTACTCAAGCAAGACTGCCAGGAAGCACTTGTCTGAGCTGGTAATTGTGAATTAAATATTTGATTGAAGTAACAGCAAAATTAAATTAATGTTTTACCCAAGTGTGACTGTACATGTTATTAACATGGCTCTCTAAGTATTTTCAATTACATTTTGTAAGGAGAGATTAGAAATATGCAGTGATAAACTAGGAGCACTGAATCTGTTGAGTGACTGTTCCTTTAATCACTTCAAGCAAAAGAAAAACAAAGTTTCCTTCCTCTGTAATGAGAGAATCATGACACTTACCTGCATTCACACAGTTTTATAAGAAATAAATCGTATGTTTTCCTACTGAAACTTGTAAATGTTATCCATGTATAGGACAGCACAAGATTTTGTGCATTTAGAAGAAAATGATCAGCTTGCGGAGTGCAATAGAGCAAAATAATTTCCACCTTGTCAACTACTAATTGTCTTTTTTATTAATTCTAAAAAGCGTAGGGAAAAATCCAGCAACAAATAGTAAAAGTATCTAAACTGTAACATACAAAACCTCATACTGAAAAAAAAAAAAAAAAAAACCAAAACCCTGTACCAATTAAAATCTACAAGGCTTGGAGGAAAAGCATCTAAGTATTTTCCAATTCCGAAAACAGGTCAGATGCATTTGTGGAAGCAGTCCCTTTAAATAATAATAAGCATAAGAAATAAATGTGCAAGCACGCAGTATTTTAAGCTCTAAGAGTAAACAGAATGTGTTTGCTATCAGAATCGTTGCAATCATTCAAATGACAATCTCCAAACTCTTCTTTGAGTCTAACATTGAAATCTCAGATTGATATATGTGGAGCAACAAGGACACCTTGAGGCAAGTTAGAAAAATGCAAAAATTTCTATTCCACATTGATATGGGATGACTTACGTGTGGAGAATCTATCTGAATTCCTTGGAATTGCCACATGATGTAAGTGATAATCTCTTAAAACTGTTTGGTAAAGTCCCATAAGTTCCACAGAGTATTATTAAAGCAGTGCTTGATCAGCACTCTGGAAATGCTAGTATATATGCTTACCAATTAGGTTCATTTACTTGCTAATAGTTTTGAAGACAGACCTGGTTTTGCAACACACTGATCCTGTTCTGAATTGCTTCTCTCCTCGTTACAGAAGTCAAAAATTTTCCTTTCCTCTGTTCAGCATAGTATTATTCTGTACATATTTTTAAAAGTATAAAAATAGTGAAAAGGTTTCTGAAGAAGTATTAAATGCAAATCTACACAAAAATTAAACTTTCACAGTTCTTTGTCACTCTCTACAAGTTTCAAGTATTCCTTTAAATTTGTACCTTTGAAAAACAGATATAACAATAAACGTTTTTTTTAAAAAAAAAGTGGGAAGAGGAAGAATCTTATAGCTCTTATTTTTTGCACATGAAAAAGCACTCTTTTTTGTTTGTTTGTTTGTTTAGCCTCTTAAATTAGAACTGGAGTTGTGGGGCCGTTTGTAGAATTTTCTGTTCCCTTAGTGCTATCTGCAGCCTTAGAATCATCACATACTTCAGAAGGCTCATTTTCCTCTGGCTTTGATGGTGTAAGATCAATAGTGATCAAATCAGTTTCCTGATCTGTTTTTTCTACTTCACTGCAAAATTCCACCTTATCTTCCTGCTGGCTGTTCTTCTTTATTTGTCCATTCTGTGCAGGGTAGATACTGGCAATGGTGTCATACAGAAATTGGTAATGTTCCTTAAATATAAAGAGAAGACGTTAGTATGAATGGAATGCTCAGAGCCAAGAATAAACCAGTTATTTCTCTGTTTTCTTAAATTTTATAAATATAACTTGTAGTTGAGCATGCAAGACTGCATATGAAGCAGCTTCCACAGTTTTTAGCGTAGAGAGTGTTGTTTCAACAGTTTGTTCTGATTTCATGTGTACGTAATGTGTCTGTAACTGCCTGCATCAGACATTCCAAGTTGTCACTCAGTCCCCTCTTGGTTCACAAAGTACCAAAAATACAATTTTTACAGTACCTAAGCTGTAAACAACATGTTTCAAGGAGTCTAGGAAAGTAATCTAATAACCTGCCCCACATCCATGGTGCCTAGGTCTGGTTTGTTAGTAAATGCGCAGTGTATCCCACAAAGATACAATTCTTCTGGAGTGATTTAAACAAAACAAGTTGATGGCTGCTAGCATTCTAGCTGCAGAAGTTAAGGGACACTGTGCGCATGCACCCCTGAAACAACTGCAGAAACATCAATGTATGCAATTTGTAATTTTATAATATGTACTGTTCCACAAAAGTGTTACAGAATTGCAGCTCTGGACATCTCACAGATTCCTTCATTCTTATCAGTAATGGCTAATTCCCAAGTACTAGGGAGTGGCTGTGAATGTCTTGATTAAAAATAGTGTTCCCTATGCAGAAATGATGCGTAAGGTTACAAGTGGCCATGATAAGTAATCTCATCATTTTTTCTGGTGATTCATAAGATTTACTTACAAAGGTGGACACCACTCCCAGCCTGGTACGACGAAGAGCTTTTACTACTTGGAAAACATCTATTACTTCTTCTATTTCTGCACTTTCCAAGAGGGTCATTAAAGCACAAAATACACCAGTCTGCTGTGATCCATCACTAAAAGATGATGTAAAATGTACAAATAAATTTAAAATGTAAAATCAGCAAGTCCTCTGACTGAATGTTAGATTTATTTCAAAGTCTACATAATGAATTATATTTCCAAAACATTTTTTACTGGACTGAAATTGTTACAGTTAAGAATATCTGTAGGGCACACACACAAGACAGTTTATCTAGATGCTACTTGGAACTCATGTGGCCACTTAAGGGGTAAGAGAGAAATTAGAAGATTCAGACTTACAGTCTCAACAATTGTTAGGAGGATCATTCTCTGCTTTAGATGGTACGCAAGGCTATTCCCAGAAATGGTCTTAAAAAAGTGGGCTTACATACTAGAACAAGAGATGAACCTAAAAGCTCTGCTGGATTTTCATTGGTAGGATGCTACAAGAGCACTCTGACCTAGCATTTCTTGTCAAAATACATGTACCAGGCAAGAGCAGCTAGCTCTAACCACCTAGAGTCCATGCCCATGCCTGCTGAAGAGAAGAGTGCTCACTTTTCATCACTACAGTCAAAAAGGTCAAGCTTGAGCAATTCAAGGAATCTGCTAGGGACAGCTGAGTCTCCAGACACAGGGAAAGGCCTCCACGAAAAGGTAGGCATCCCAAAATGGGGATTGCTATGTATACCCAGAACTTAGAGATAGGTTAAGGTATCTGCTGAATTCAGACCCACCGGCAGTGGACGACGAGTGGGACACCGCGGGTATTCCTGCTGTCCTCAGTGACTGGTCTGGCTGGGACTTTTTGTTTAAGGTTGAGAATCATGTTAACTAAATCCTTGGGGTTTTCTGGAACATCCAAGCCACTCCACTTGTGATACTGATACTGATACACCTTCTGTGTTTCTTTAGTCTGGAAAACAGCAGTGGAGATGTAGTCAATGTCCAGGTTGAAATAAAGATTTATGTAGTACATCTATTGCAGCTGATTTAAAGAAGAAAAATTAAATTCCTGAGGAATTACATGGTGACGAGATGTCTATCTACCTCATGAATATGATAAGCATATGATAGACAGCCAAACTTTGCTCAATGTACAGAAGACAGCTGACCTCCTGAGACTCCAATACCACCATCTCAACAACTCACTAAATGGGAAATTTGAGCTAATTTATAACATTTATCATGACCGGTTGCTGGTCTGGAAGAGAAAAATATTTCCATTTCTTAGAGCAGGAGGTAAGAAGAATGGGAACTGTCCCTTCTCTTTCTTTAGGCTAAGTTTATAACAGAGAAACAAATTTAAAATTTCCTTTTGGAATTTGCAAAGGAACTTTTACCTTCAGATGTGTAACATCAAATGCACGTATGGTATAGCTAGGACAACAGTTGACATCTGTCATTTGAACTTCTATGCCATCATATGTTTGTTTTCCTTCTCCCCAGTACTGTGCAGAGAGTTCCTAAAATGCATAAAAGTACAAGTCAGTGCTTACCATTCAAACCTCCTTTTATTTTATCTTCCACATGCACTTACAGAATGTACTGACTTTAAAATAGTAGGAGTGTTATTGTATTTTAAAATATAGCATCATATACTTTTCCCTTCAAAAAATAATTAGAAAGTAAATTAAGAAGGTAAATAATAGAACAAATTATACTAGAAATCCAAATTCCTCATCCTATAAAATACACTTAGCTGGAGGAAGGGAATGAGAGATGGCAGTGCAGTGTTTTCTTTGCAGATAGAGGACCCTTAGTACGTCAGTGTGAAGACAATGCCCTCACCTGATCTCCTTCTTTTAGCTCTGTCAGCATAACAATGACTTTGACTTTTCTTTGGAAGATCATTTGCCAGAAGTCAGAAACAGTTTCCTGCAGTGGTCCCTGTGTTGCAATCATGGCTTTCGGACCCCAGTAGCCCTATAAAAGAAATTTTTGACTTTTTTTTCTGCGATTCATTTGAAATGGGACTATCAAGCAACAGAACTCGTTGTCATTTAAAGAATACCAAGTGAAATAAACTAATGAACCCTTTTGTTTATAGGGAAAATATGCCTATCACAGTAAGCAATCCTACGAGCCAGATGACATTAAACTCAATCCCCCTAACAACAGTATCACTTCCAGATTGACAGCAAGGTATACTTATGCTGCAGTGGGTGAGACCTCACCCTGCCATTTTCTGCAAAGTATATTTTTAAGGGCTAAAACATTTAATTCTACACAGCCAACTAATTTGACCATGAAGAAACTGAGTTTATATCACACAAAGTTGATGCACCAGTCAGCTCACATTGAGCTGCTCAAAAGTAAAAATACATTTACTCTGAATAGATATCCTAAGTGTGCAGCATTTTAAAGGATTACAATAAATCAAATTTGTCTAGTAATTCCATTAAAATCAGTTACTTCCTTAGTGACCAATAATTGCTCTCCTTTTGAAGGTATATATGATACCAACAAACTAATGGCCCCGATTTTCACTAGTCGTGTCTTGTATATGTGAATAACTATACTCACATTTCACTAACAGGGAAAATACTAATATGGATCAACTTGTACATAGGCAGACGCCTACTAAAAGAAATACATGTTATCATGAGGCCCGTCTGAAAGCTAGTGGTTTTAGAAATAACACACATGTGCAAAAAAAAAGAGCATTTCTATGACTAGTCTCACTATTTGAGATTGCACAGTTTAACACCATGTAAGGGAATTGATTCATCTTATTACTGTAGCAAAATGTAGGAGATTTTCATGATGAAAACTATAAATGGATTTGCCAGTTGACTGTCAGATCTTTCTCCCTTACTCAGGTAAATCCTATTCTATTTGTGAAGCCAACAGGAGAATAAGAGCTCAAGCTAGAATATAGTTTTAGCTGAAAGCTTGTGAAATACTTATAGTGGATCCTCTAAATACATACAGTTATGAAGGAAGCATTGATGTATTTGCTCAATTCCTCAGAGTCACTGTCCTCATCTGAGGAATCATCTGAATCGTGTTCACCCTCCTTATTGTTTTCATCTTCATGCCTGATTGGCACTCGATTAAAGTCATCTGCATGAGACAAAGTGTCGCCATTATGCCACACTGCCACTCAGGTATAGCATTAGAGAGAGGCTGCCCCCACAGGTGCAAGGGGAAAAAATAGATAGAAAAAGGCCAGTCCTTTCACAATAGACTGCAGAAAAAAGGCCGCTTTATTTGAAATAAATACTCCCAATAACTCACATTTTTAAAAATTCATCTCTTCTTTTTTAAATGAGAAGTTTCTAATTTTACAGTGTTGAGAAAATTACTCAATCAAATACATCACAGTAAGGTAACTTACTGTTCTCATTTTTTCAAAATTCAGTAGGTTTTCTTACAGAAGATAACAGATAAAATAAGGGAAGGTTCATGGAAAATACTTACATGGAATTATGTTGGCATTCCTATTTTTGCTTTTATTTTCTTCACGATTCCCAGTGTTCTGTGTCCGCCACCCCTTATAGGAAGGTAATCTCTAAAGAAAGAGGATGTTTCGCATTATGCTTGATTCTGGGATCATTGTGCCTCTGGACACCCACACCCTGTCTTCATCTCCCAGTGCCTCACTTCTTACTTTAATTCTTTAAACTTTGGTTACATCTGGACTATAGCTTAAAAATGCCTGCTATGTCATGTACAATGGCACAGGAAATCACGTGTGTAGACACAAGTAATTGCCCTATGCTCCCCATCTTTGTTAAAAATATTAACATTGAAAGCAGGAATAAAATTTCATTAATTTACAGCTTTTTTTTTTTTTTTTCATGACGGTAAATAAACTGGTTTTGTGCCAGAGAAATAAAATATCACAGAAGTGATCTATCATATATGGTATCTCTATTTCATGACTATTGAGCAAGGCACATTCTAATGTAAGTGGGAGGTAAGGACACTAGAATGCAATGCTTATTTACCTGAAACTCTGCCTCCAGCAGAGATGGATCACTCGGAGGATCTCTTCTTTTCAGATTGTTAAGATAGGAATGCAGTTCTGAGAGACTGACCTCTGTTTCTCCATACTGATTGTATTCCACTAGTGCTTGATGGATAAGAATGTACTGTGACTGGTGTTTCCCATTTGAAGGGTTTAAAAATTAAGTTATTGAAGAGTTAAAAAGAAAAAAAAATCATATCAGTTTTTAAAACCATTATAAGAAACTATTACTCCCATTATGCTAATATTGTTAATAATATTAAGCATTAATGTTAAATAGGCATTAAAGACAAGTATTAAAAATTATAGTGGCTTCCACATTAGGCATTTTGGAGCACATTTAGCATGTTGGATGAAAAGTGTTCCTCAAATAAATGTAATGTCATTCAAGAAATATGCAACTGAGATCTGAAAGATCAGCAAAATGCATAAATAACTTAAAAACATTGATTGCATTGCATCAGTCCATAACTTTTGCTGTACTCTCAACTCAACTGAAAATCCCATCTAGACAGACAGGTTTTAGAATTTGAAAATGGAAGTTGACTATGCAAGCTCAGTTTTGCATTTGTGAATTGTAGGCCAAAAGCTGGATTATCAAATCAAAAATGTTCTTCTTGGCTTCACTTTTTAAAGCCTTAATTTAAAAAGCTGAAGTTTCTAAAGCTGAAAAACTGCACTGGAAGATTTTATCTTTCTCAATATTTTTCAGATCTGTATTTTCTACGAACAACTTCAACTAAACTGTAGTAGTACTCAAGACTGAGCAGCACACTTCTGAGAAATACTGAAGAAGCCCTAGCAGAGTTCTAAGTGACAGGAGTTTTAGCAAGATACCTCTACTTGAACCATGAGGCACCGTTGCCGACGCAGCTTCACAACATAGCCGTAAACATCCACTCTGCCTTCTGCATCCAGCCCCTCCAGCATGGCATCAATTCCTATGTATGTTCCAGTGCGCCCAACACCAGCACTGCAAAGCACAAAGGGATTTGGTTATCAAGAGGGAGTGACATCTCCCAGTTCCACTCTGAGAAGGGAGCGGTCTGTGAGAGAGCAAGAGTGAAAATGTGTAACAATGGGATATGAAGCAACTGAAAACAGTTCTTGTTGTAAATTAATTGGCAACACAAACAATGATGAGAATGTATTTTAAATATCTTTTAATGAAAGTAAGGCGAATATTGCCAAATGTGGTGCTTATAGCCAGAATAGCACCAACATTTATCTGGCTGCTTTCCAAAAGTCCAAAAGTTTGTGTATCCTCAGATTTTATCAACCTGAATATCTTTCAGATCCTTCAGAAAACAGGCCTTTTTATGCATCTGTGTCTGCCTCACTCTCAAGTAATCAAGTCACAAAATTTGGGATCAGCCAAATACCTTTGCCAGCTCCCTTTTCTGGATAGTTTCACTTCATGCTCATTTAACATTAACAACTTTTAAAAAAATTAATATATATTTACCTGCAATGAACCACTATTGGGCCACTAAAAAAGTTGCTAAGAGCATTAACTCTGCGTCTGAGTTTGAGAAGGAGATGTGGATCCTCAGGGACTCCATGGTCTGGCCAGCTTGTGAACTGAATATGAGTGACATCTCTTCCAGCTGTCCTTTCTCGTCCCTATACAAAGTAAAGTGTGTGGTTTTATATATATGTACACACACACACATATATGCACACAGAAAGTCACAATCAAGTGCAGATATGCAAAGCAGAATCAAAATAAGTCATCAAATGTTGAAACAAAAATTTCAAAGTGTGCTACAATGTAATCCCAATTGTCTTTCAGGTCACGACATTTTTCATTTTCAATTTTAAACTAAAAATATCTATGAACTGGGAATACACAATAACTCCAACACAGGACAAGCAGGAGGTTCAAAGTGTTGCTAAAAATACTTTTTTTCTTAGGTTAGCCTATGATCCAGAGTATAACAGGTCTCCCCACTCTATTCATAAACAACTTGGCCAGTGTAAAGCTCTGCTTACTTCAGAGGGTACAGGATGGCAATTCTCTTATGTCTCCTAGGAGCAGTCTGCTAATGGTACAACAGATTTTTTTTTAAAAAAAAAAAAAAAGGAAATTTAAAGTGTAATTCAGACTTCTGTTTATAATTAGATACAAGAAAGCCTATGATTTTCAATGAGACCGACTCTCTTAAATCACTTGACTAATGCTTAAAACATGTCAAGTCTTGAGTCCTATTTTCATATGTTGCTGCTAGATTAAAAGAGAGCATATACATTTTGATAGCCATCATTATAAAACAAAACGAGAAAAGCATCTCAACGGCATTCTTTTCCTGGCCAAGATTTGGTATGGCTATATGGACATTTCCCCAATAATTAACCCCCCAAATTCTTACTCAAAGTTGAATTAACTGGTTGTGGCACAGTTATTCATACAATTATTTGCCATTGTTTCAGTAATTACACATCACTATTCCACCAGAACTGCAGAAGTCTCCACTTTCTCACCAGGGACCACTCTTAAATTCCACAAAAAGTATCAGTTTTATCTATATCAATATGGTGTCAGCCAAACAGAGAGCAAACGGCTCTGAAGTATCAGTCCTCAACCTGCATCAATTCCATTTCTCATGTCAGATTGTTCTAGTTACAGAGCGATGTCTTTGTTAATATTTAATTCTTAACATCTTGATATTCTCACTGTTTTCACACTAAATTGCAACTTCCTTTTAATAAGATCACTTCCTGAGTAAATTTTACTGTAACGTGAGACAACAGAATAGGAATTTCCAGCTGTAATCATGGATCAAGATGGGTGGATGCTGTTGCTTGACTCTTTCACTGAAGATCTGTCGGCAGATTTACTCTCTGAGTCTTAACGCTTTTAGCTGACTTACACTCCATTTACCCTCACTGAATTATTTTTGCAGAAGGCCTCAGAGGAGCATTTAGCCTTAGATAGCAAATTTTGTTCTCAGTTACACACAGAGCAACTATTGTGATTTCAGATGTATAAAAGAGAGAAATTAGCCACCCTTAATGATTCTACACATAGCCAAATGGTAGTTTTAAAACAATGATGTTTATAAATGCACTAGAGACTACCAGAATTTGTAATCATCCCACTGTACAATTATCACAAGGGTAGAAAATGGTGCTCTATGCGTCACATTGATTTTACTTGCAGAAGGTTATACTGAAATACACATAAAGCAGCAAAATTTCTGTGTTAACTAACAGGCTAAATATCTAAAAAACCCACAGTGTATGAAGTTTTTCATACTTAACATCATATTAACAGTTTCCTCTTAAATGTAGATTCCAGAGTACTAAGGAAAATATATTTTTAAGCTGGGAAATATATTTCTAACTTGTATTTGTTTTAAGGAATGACACCTACATGTAAGAAGTTTTCTCTTAAACTATATGTTCCTTAGGGAAAACCAGAAGAGCATCTCCCATTGATAGCTGACTCTTCTCCTCTTGAAAGGATCTCTCAGTGATACCTATAAACTCCAAATAGACACTCCAATTCCAGTCAGTCTTACACTTTTGAATCAACTTACCTTTGTGATGTGTAGTTTCTGAATGACATAGTCTGGACACATTTTACTTTCATTGATCTTCACAATGATGTCCCCATATGTTGCAGAGCCATTCTCCATTGATGGCCAGTACTGGGCACATTTGTTCTATGAAGATATGAAGTTAGGTGAGGAGCATGACAACAAAGTGGCAGAGGGCTGGGAGCTAGAAGAAAGTCCGATCTAAAATAGATGGCAACTCAGTATAGTTTTTCCCACTTGTCACCAGTCTTGTCCTCTCCTGAAAAGGCTGTCACTGTTTAGGATGTCAGTGCTAAACAATTCCAAATACACAACAGTTCAGGTGTCTGACCTGAAGTTTATACCCATGAAATTTAACCTGGTGAAAAAATCCTGTACACTAGTTGAAAAAGTGAACAGCTGTTGCTGTTGCCTGAAGACTGTAGAAAAGTTTGAAGCTACTTCCATGGCTTCTTTTTCAGTCTTCAGTGAGGGATGTTGCTCCTGCCTGCCTATAACATCAACTTGGGGGTGCTGTAAATCTGCACACTGACAATCTTTTCATCTTTGAAAGCAGTTAAAACAGCAGTTCCCCTTCTTTCTGCTGTACCTGGAATAAAGAACAAAACTCAGCCAGAAGCACACAACCTTCCAGTTAATGGAAGGCCAAAGACAATGGATAAAAAAAATATTCTGTCTAGGATTTACTGGGTGCATCACCAGGACATCAGAAGGTAATAGATGGGAGAAAGATACAAACCGTACCTTTTATGACAGGTATGTGAGGAGCTAGAGTTTTACCTTGAGCCCTTTTCTGGAATTATTAGCTGCAATTTGGAAACTCACCCTCTGCTACTAACAGCTCTGACTAAAGTGACATTTTCTGAAGAGACTAGTAATTCCATAAGGCAACACTGTTTTGACATGCTTTCCAATGTAGGTTCTGCCACAACTAGAGAACAGCAAAGAATGATAATGAAGTACTAAGAAGAAAATGGAATTCACCACAGCACAGCAACACATTCTGTTTTTGGACAAAAGAAGGATGGAAAAATGGATGGATGTGTGGATATTCCTCACCCTCTTTCCTTCCTCACAACGAGTCACCATGACAATAACCGTTGCTTTCTGTTCCCAGATCATTCTCCAGAAATCATCCGTGGTTTCATCCTTGGGGCCTAGCAGGAGAAATTTTAAGGGCATTTTTCAGAGTGCAGCTACATGAAGAAACATTTGCCCTCCTGACATGCTTAGCCATGGTGTCTGAAAAGCTAACCAGAGATCATGCAAATAACAGCCACACACTTGACTTCATTATGACTGCTGCCATTAAGCTCCAACATTTTAAAAGACTTATATACATCTTTAGTGCATAACTGTGAAATCTGAAAACTTTTGGTGTAAAAGTATGCATCATGAGAAATCTGCTTTGAAAGTACAATCTATTCATCTTCACAAAATTCCCAAGCAAAAACTTACAGACAACTTTTTCATAATACAGTTCTAAACATCAGATTTTAAATTTATCTTTAAATTTACTAATACTTTTACTATTCTCTAACAAAAAATGGGTGCATAAAGCAAGCATATTCTTTTAAGGCTAAAAAATTACCTTGTGCAGCAATGTATTTTCTTGGTTCTTTGAAGCCCTATAAAGAGTAAAATGTTAAAAACTTTTACAAAGGAAGCTTGAACAACTTAAAAGATTTGCAACTTTAAAAATAAATTCAGTATGCAACAGTCCAATAATACTGAATACATTACAAAGACTGAAAGAACCCAAATGGAAATCCTCAAAGGTGTTTGATGCATGAAATGTACAGACTACAGAATTTCTTCAACAGTGCCTAAGACTTTTTTTTAGTAGAAGTCACTCACATCAATATAACTTGCATTGATATAGTCTGATCCTGGGTCTCCTGGGATCTCTGAGAGCTCAACACGATTATGATCATCTGTTTAAATAATTTAAAACAAGATAATTGTATTATGTCAAGGCATTGAGAAAGCAAATATTTATAAAACATGCAAAAATTGTTGCAAATACTCACATGGAAGGATATCAATGTAACGGTTTTTGCTCTGATTATGTGTTTTTTTGGCTTCCTTTATTGAAAATTTAGTGAAAACTCTAGGAATACTCTGTAAAATACCATGTTTCATTTATTAGGTATATTATGTATATTTAAACATGTTAGCATATATTTGAAATAGCTTCTAGTTACAGTCAAATGCATATGGAAAAAATTTGGTACTACTGAGTCTGGAAGATAACATTCTGTTTCACATGATACTACTTCATATATGTCATATCTAAAATAAATAAATTTATTTTCCCTTAGTAGAAATAATACATATCTCCACAATTATATATTATTTATATCACCGTGGTACGCAGTAAGAGAGAGTATTAAAAATATGCATTAAAAAGTACTTTAGAATGAGAAGTATTTAGGACTGTGTATTTTTATACTTTGGTTGAAAAACACCGTCAGGAAAAAACAAAACAAAACATCACCCTATAATGAAGAGAGCTTGGTAGCAAAATTAGCTGAAGCCTATTTGACCTTAGATGAGAATTCGCTCAATTTTCTAGATTCTTTTTTTTTATTTATATATAGCAAATACATATACTTCAAACATACTCTTGAACAGAATTCTTCCAACAACCTGGCTACAAATCTGCAGTATATTTTGAGCCAATGACAAACCTGAAATTCATCCAAAAAAAGTCTTCCTTCATCAGCAATCTTCCTCTTGTATGTGTCCAGCAATTGCTCCGAAGGTATTGGCTCTATATTCATAAGTTGCCTGTCATCATCTTTAACTGTGCAAATACATTGAACATTTATAGTTACTGACTTTGAAAATGCAAATTACCTTTCAGTAAATGTGATTCTCATATTGTCAGATAAATTAACAAAAGGACAAACCTCTTTAAGTCTTTAGCTAAATGGATTTGAAGATCAACACAGTATTACTTCCCATCTAATGTACTTAATTTCTGTGGGCTTCTGTGTCATAAATTATTTTTTGACTAAAGCTTTCTGTTATTGACTGATTTTGTCCTTCATAGGCTTTGAAACCTCGTGCAAAATATTGCACATAATGTTCGGTTTCAGTCTTTGGTATTTGAAAGTCTCCAAAATTTTGCAGTAAAAACTGACTGGCTTATGTTTAAATTCTTGCTTTGAAAAATGTGCACAGGAAAGGGAAATTCTGATTGAAACTGTATTTGATTCTGGACTTCTTCTGAGAGTTAAACATATCACAACCATTGTCTGGGATAACAAAATTTGGTTTGTAATTAAATAGTAAATAAGGGTTTTTCAAATAGTGATAAACTTTCAGTTTATTTATGTATAAATACTTCTGCTATATATTTACTGCAGGGTTTTTTTTTTTTCTCCAAATGAGGTGTTACCATGTTGATATCTGTAATCTATGTATACAACCCAGAATATAAACAATCCAAAGGTGGCAGCAAGACATGTGACTAATTTTATTTTCACTTGCAAAATATATGAAGATGCTCACCTGCAACAAGGTTCACACCTTCAGAAGAATTGCTGTAAGAAGCAAAAACATCTGTAAAAGCTTTGACTAGTAAGACATATATGTGATAATGAGTTAAATAAAAGCAGTTTTATATGTGAACAGCAAGAGTGTTCATAACTAACAGACCGCAATACAATCTCTCTGTGAAACTAAAGTGCTACGGCTGGGAATTACAGGCCCTACACAGAGGTGGTTGGGATCTTTGTCCTCACACTCTGAACACTATTGAGGGAGAGAAGCAATATATGCTTGCATAATTTTGTCCGTATCACTTGCAGCAAACACATCTTTAAACTCTTCACTGGAGTCACTGCTCATGCCATCTTTGTTTCTCTTGATAAATAAGTGACAAAAAAACTAACACATACATAAAATATAATGAAATTAAGTTTAAATGCTAAGTAGCCAAGAACAATCCAAACTCTCTGAAGCTGTACAAGCAAAAATTAGTTTTGCTTCCCTAAGCATAAAAGTTTGCATCTGAGCAAGAGCAGCTCCCTGTCTCCCTAAGGGGAAGGGCAGAGGGGGAAAGGCGCTGGAAGAGACTGATCCCCAAGTTCTGCTGTTGCCAGAGGGCTGAGAGGTTTCTGAAGAAATTGCCCTAACTCCTCCATCTGTAGCAGCAGCAAATGCCCCCTCACACATGGCACCACCTCCCTTCACAGCAACAGCAGCGGTTGCTCTGGCACAGGCATCAGGGAAGGCAACAACCACTCTCCTACTGCCATCCGCTGTCCTACAGAACTGCCAGGTCCCCTAGAGATGACTATAATAAACAAAGCCTCCCTAAGATATTGGTTTGGGTGAATAAGCATTTGATAGAGTTCCAAAAAAGTGTGTATTATTTTCATTGCTTTTAACTTAAATCATGAAGGAAAGGCTTTCCAGATATTTGTGAATATTTTTTTCACAAAACTAGTGACAAAACATTTTGTTCTAGCAGATTAGTTCTTCTGTGCCTTGAGAAAGGGTATAGCAGAGAGATTTTAAGTCTACTTCACTGTATTTGCATTGCCAGACAAACCACCGCAAATTGAGTTTCTTTTGAAATGATTAAATAGGATGTCTTTTCCCCATATTAATGAAACATTAAATTTGTAGCATCTTTGCACTACCCATTGGGAAATCTTGTGGAAAAACAGAAAACCTCCCCCTCACCCCACATTTATATAAGACAGGGAGACATGCATGAAACTTACCCAAGCTTTTTTTTGTGAAGATCATAGATTTTGTACAGAACCAGTAGTAAAGCAATTGATGTCACAACAATCAAGAATGCCAAGAATATAATCAGGGCTTTAGAATTATCTAGCAACAGAAAAATAATACTTTTATTATTTCTTGAATATATAATTAATGGCATTTAAAAGTTAAAATTTTTGCTTTTTTTTTTTTTATCTGTACACTTCCAAGAACCAGGGCTCATTCATTTTATATTTTTTTTTTTTTAAATAACTAAATCATTATTTTTATGTGTTTTGTTTAAGTTTGTTATTCCAAAGTGTCAAAAACATTTAAGCTCACAGAAAAGGAAGGAATTTTATTTCTTCATTAAGAAAACTTGCACTTAGACTCTCCATGTCCACCTGTCAAAATGCTACAACTCACTCACTGGTTCAGCATTACCACATTTGCCTCCTGCTCTGTGTGACCTGTACACCTGAGCAGCAGAGCCCTCAGTTGCTCCTGATCTGGGAGCTGGGAATCCCTGACAAGTTACAGATGTTAAGCTCCTGAAATGCAGAATCTGAACAGAGGAAAATAATCCTGAAGTGAATAACTTCAGTTAGAGAAATGAATTTCTAGTTGCATTTTAATGTTTCCTGAAGAAACCGCAGCTGTGTAATAATTCTGAATTATGGTAAATGACTTGTCAACATGATCTGTTACATTACTATTTTTTCAAATGCAGGTCAGCTATTAACTATAAAAACAGGCAGTTTGGACTTTTAATTAGGAGCATTTGTAACGGAATTCACAATTTACGCTATTACTCTATACTATGCTAAAGTCTGAAAGTAAAAATTATGTATATATTTACTTACATCTGGTTCTTACACTCTTCTTTACTGGCTGCCCTCTATATTCTCCATTAAACACTAAGATCTGCATACAGTGGGTGAAAATAATAGAGATGATAAGATATCAGAAGTCAAAATTTCTGCTTAAATTAAAAAAAAAAGCACAATGGATATTCAAAATACATCCATCTATTTTCAATTAATTAACCTCACTGACAGCAGGATCTGTATATATAGCCATTTATTGTGCAGCTCAGGATTCCACTTAAGTTACAGCAAAACCTAGATCCAAAAATATGTAGATGACTGGAAAAAAAAGTTAGTGAAATAGGAGACACATTCCACACAGTCAAAATCAGATGCATCTCAAGGAAAAAATCAAATTTATCTCTTATCAAATCAAAATCAGATCTATCACATCTGAAAAATAACCATGCAATATCTAATGAAACATAATTATTTTATTTGTTTCAATAGTAAATATACAAATAGTCAACAGAATTGGATATTTTTAATACAAGTTCCTGTATGGGAAGTGATTCGTAAAAGGTTAAATTATAGAATCCCAAATAAACTTTTAAATAAGATGCTTTCTTTCAACATTAACTTTTGGGTACTTGAACTGGTGTTAAAATACTAACTTTGTTTAGATGTGTTTATATTTCATAATATATTTCACATTTACTCAATCTTTTAAATTTTCTTAATAGAAATTCCTATCAGAGCTTCAAGGCAGCTTGAAGCTTGCATGTCAAACATTTCATACTTTTCTTGTGAAGAAAAATTAATCTTACTATTAAACAAAGATTTAATATTAACAGTGGAGAATACTAACAGGATTGAATAACAGTGATTTTAATAGTAATATTCCCCTGCTGCAAATCATTCAAAAGAGGAGGAGTAGGGCTTTCAGCACCATTGCTGCCTGCAGGCTGAGTTCTTACTGAGCCTACCCAGGCCCTTAAGAGAAACCTCTCCTGAAGACTCAGAGGACGGTGCCCCAACTCACATCCGCTCCTCCAAAAGGCCGATGTGTTCAAGGGGTTGATGGTTTCTGAATTCTGCAGCTGGGAAGAAAGTCATGGTAGGTAGCAACATCCAGAGGAGTAGGAGAGGTGGCAGAGAAAACAAGCAAAAATCTTCTCAAATAGAGAAAGCCAGAAACCTAGTACAGCAGTCAGGGTCAAAATATCACTAAACCAAAAAGTATGCTGGGTAGGCTCCTGTTTATTCCCTGAACAATTCAGTGTGCAGGTAGAAGGGAATCACGACATCCACTAACTCTCACAGGTGATCTGTTTTTTCTTCCTGAGCCTTCCATAACTTGGCCCAGAATCCTTTCATTACTAGTTAAGACCATAAGGCTTTCTCTGTTTGAGCCAAATAAGTTCAAAGCAGAAGCCAGGGTTTAAAGCCAAGCAGAAGCCAATTTCTTCTGTAAGGTAAACTGCTCACTGCAAGTGGTGTACAAAAAGCTTACAAGAGTGCAGGGGCCTTGTACTATGGGGGCAATGCAAGCATCTTTTGCTCCTACAGGATCTCGTCTTTATTTTCCAAATACAAAGCTTTCTGAGCAGAATGTCAGAAAAGATACTGACAAAGCTCTTGGAACCAAGTCTAGACTACCCAAGTTCTCTGATACCGCATTTCCTCAAGAAGATACAGAGAAAAGAGGAAGAGATTGTGGAAAATGAGTGAAAAGGGTTCCTAAAAGGAATAAAACTCCATCATTCCTACTGGTTACTTTCTTACTTAAACTCTACTGAGAGGAGCTATCAGGATAAAAAAAAAAATATTCCTACTGGCCACATTTAAGGGGATCACACAAGACCACTGGTTTTTCAAGCATCAAATGTAAAAAGAGTGAAATGCCTGAAAGAAGAGAAAATAGCAGGAGGCCTTCAGAAAAATACAGATTGTAAACAGAGGGTGATATATTTTGTATGGAAACAAGGACTGGCTTGTAAAGGCTGATGTAAGGACATGCGAAAGGATCTGAATTGCTTCACACTAACTAGTCCCTGAGGCATCAAAAATCTTCACAGTGAAAAATTCTGAACAATTTATTTCTAAGCAATTACCTCAAGACTCAAATCCCATATTTATCCTCTGATTGAAATGGCAGCCACACATTCATTAAATTAAATGTGTTTTAAACACTAAAATACCAGTTATACTTAAGAAACTACTTTAAAACTTATGGAAAGCCCAAATTTCTTTCCGTCCCAAGCACAAAAAATCTATTCAGCTTGTACTTTTCATGCTGGCAGAACCTATGTGAAATAGCACGCAAGGGGTTGACCAATAGGCTAGGCACATATGCATTTTATTTCTGAAGTAATAGCTACTTCTTTACATCTGTATCCTACAGATCCATAGATTAACTCCTCTGCCACCACATTTGCCTTTTTTCATAAAATCAAGTATAATATGCTTAAACAATGAAAATACAGCAATATTTTATATGTTTAACTTAATAAGCCTACTTACCGTAAATGTATAGTTTGTCAAGTATGAGAGATTTTCTTTTTTAAAGTCACAATTCTCACTGGAGTGGTTTGTTCCATCATTTTCCCAAGTCAGTTCAAATAATTTTTGTTCTCCATACACTTGTTGACTTCTGCACTTAATTTGGACAGCATTATCAGCTGTCAGTGTTGCATTAACATCAATCACTTGCTCTGGTTCTGTTCACAGAAGAAGTGTTACTGGTTCTATTCTCATAATTTCAAACCGAACATTTCAACAGCTCTATGTGTTTGTGTCTTATCTTCTCTCTTAATAATTTCATATATTTTCTTCTTTAAAATTTCATTCCCAGTTTAACATAAATAAAATCAATTTTGAGTTAACCACAGGCTGATCCGAACTGGAAAAGATGTCATGTGGGACTGAAAAGTCTGGAAAGATCAGAGCTCTAGTGACAGTCAGGCTGCAAAGATAATATGATGGCAACTATCTCTCTTGCATCTGACATCACTTTCTCGTTTGAGGAAAACGGGACAACAGACAAGTCAGGGGAACAAACAGTTTTCTCTGGGAGAGTATGTTTCAATACTTCTGCAAATAAAATCTCCTACCAGGAGTTACTAGCATATTTTAATATTTGTAAAAGTATCCTTTTTCTTAAAGTGTCACACTGTCTTAAAGCTGGCCTAAAACCACAAAAACTTTTAACTTTTTAATGATAAAGAATCTGTTAAGTCTTATCTGTGTTTTCTAACTCTAATTTTGTATATTCTAGTAAATGGGTTTCAGGGGCACAGATCAAGGGACCTGTCACTGAGAGCTTATGAAACCTTTAAGAAAGTAAATAACCTTCTGCGTAAGACAGCTCCATTAGCCACATTTCAGTAGAACACCATCATGGAAATATTCTTTAAAATCACTTCAATTTGCAAGCTAGCTAATTAAAAAAAAAAAAAAAAAAAAAAAAAGACAGTTGCTTTTATCTTCATATGAAGAGCTAAAGATAAGAGAGACTATATGAGCAGATCAAATATCGCATGTGGGGAGCAACAGGATATTTTACTTAGCTGAATGTGCAGCTACAACGTATCTGCTCATTTTTATCCACAGGGCAGATTTGTTAGATTCCTATCCAGCATACTACTGAAATAGCTGTGACAAGGAGAAAGTGAATGTTTCTAGAGGTAACATTGAAGATGAAAATTTTTTATAAAACGTAGGGGTTTTCTACTTCCAAGGAGTTGTGCTTTACTGATATAACCTCTTGTTCAAGAAGCCATAACTCTCTTCCACTTTCTGCTTGGTCATGTTATCAACCATTGTAACAGTTGGAGAAGGTTTAATAAATACCATTAATTCATGAAGGCAAGAAACCTGTTATTTTCTCAAAAAATAAGGGAACTGAGGTTGCTCTTCAGACTTATATTGTGGACTGTAATCTTCACCTCAGTCATTAAAATATGAGTGGATCCCTGGAAAGTGGGGGCTCCAAAATATAATATACTCAAACTAGATTATTACAGAGAGAGAAATCATGATCATGCTCAGATTAGAACTAAAAATAAAGACATTTTTGATTTTCTGTTACATTGAAGTCTCAGATCAAACAGTATATATTATCAATTCATTTACAAGCTTTTTTTTTTTTTTTTTCCCATTGGGTTTTTAAGTGAGAATTTTTATTCCTGTGTTCATTCCCCCAACTATAAACCAAAATTTGTTAGCTCAATGACCCAAAGTAATAGGGAGATTCCAATGTTTTCACTGATTGTCTGTAAAACTGGATATAAAAGCTCTGTATATTCCACAGAGTCAGATTCAATGTTCTAATACACTGAATATATACATAATATAAGTATATTCTTATATATATGAATGTCAATAAAATTCTTCTAATGTTAATCAGTTTTTTGGCTAATAGTAATAACATATAAAATATAATGAAGTACACTAAGGAAGTACATATTCCTCATGTTAGTATCAACCTTGTTCATAACAGTTAGCAAAGAAGAGACTTACCTGCTGATTTTGTTTTAAACGGACATCTTGCAGTCTTTCCCATATATTCTACACCACTATATTTGCTCTTCGTATATGGAGTCACATATACAGTACCTTCGGTAAAAGGTTGTAATTCATGGCAATGAAAGATAGTATCATTGACAAGTTCTGCCGCTTTATAAAAAAATGAAAAATGAAATTAATTAAATAAATTACTGAAATTTATGCTACCAGCACAGGAACTCTTACATCAGAGCTACCTGAAACCGCTTCTATTTTAATTACCTTGTAATTGTTTGGTTTGTCTTGCTTACTAATGCTATGTGAAGGCTCAGAAGAGGAAGAAATATATTCCCCAATCAAAAAGGCAGAAAGTTGAGGGTTTGTTCTGTTTTGTATTTTACTTTCTCAGCATGTCATTTAAATGGGTGTAACTAAAAACTAACATAAAGCACATTGATAACGAGGGGCTGATAGTTTCTTCTGTGTTCAGCTTGGGAAGGGGCGTATAGACAGATGTCAGAAGTCAGTCTGCACACTGGACAAGTCTGTTCTGGTATGATGCGAGAGATGTCCTGTGCTTTCAGTAGTGGCAAGCATGACAGAAAGGAATTGCACGAGAAGCACTGTGAGCAAAGCTATTACCACACTGCAGCTGGGGCTTTGGTGCCTTGGGGAACTGGGGAGCAATGTTCTTTCCATGTTTCCTTCTGGCTGCTTCAGATGTGACGTCCCTGCACCCCTGCATACTACCTTGGTCTCCTACACTAGCCAAACCGGACCAACAATAGGAACAGGTGCACAGAGCTGCCATCCTTTTGGGCAGTGGTTCAATTTGGGACGTGGAGAATGGGAGAGTTTATTTGTATCTGAGTTGCACAGGAGCATGACAACCTTTGGTTCCTATGGTAGTCCGAGTTTACCAAACATGCAGTATGTGAACAGAAAGAATGTGTTAACCCAGGACTAGCTTAAACTTGACATATATTTCCTGGAATCATGTATCAGGCTCTTAATTTTCAAAACATCATTTTCCAGCCCTTGTTTTGAAGAAAAGCTCACACCTGGAAAACATGATCCCAGTATAACAGATACAGACTTATCCATCTAAATATAAGGTCACCTAAAAGAGCATATCTGAAAAGAGTGACTGTTTAGTAGAAGACAACCACCTGGATTTACCTGTCTAAACATGCATATGCTAACTGCCATACTTAGGACCCCTTTTACATACACTGTTGTTGCTCAGAAGGCAGGTCCCTGTCTTCTCAGAGAATATATTAACCAGATATAGCAGCATTTTCTGAGACAGAGGGCACCATGTTACAAACTAATCAGGCAACTGATGATCTTGTCATAAATTATTCTTAATACAAGAAGCATGAGAACTGATGGGTGACAGAGTTATGTCTTGAAAGGGTAAACTGAATAACCACATGGTTCAACTGGAACAACCTCAAAGGAAAGAAACTTAAATGTCTGTAACAAAAAAAAAAAAAAAAACTGCACGTTTGAGGAGATTCCAAGATTCCAATATGGTTTGACAATGCATCATGCTTGGTGCTCTGTAAATACTAAAACATGCAATGAATTATTCAATACTGAGGGGGCATATACTTACGTTTGTCATTGCATTTCACAATATAGCCATGTACAGGATTCTTTGAACGGTCACTAGGTTTATTCCAGCTAACTGATATATTTCTGGCATCACAAACTACTGTAAAATTTTCTGGTGATTCTGGAACTGTTGTAAAAGAAAAATAACAGTGAGGGAAGGAAATGTTAGAATCAAAATGTAAAATATTCCTTTTTTACCTACTTTGATTAAATTAAATTTCATTGGATACTAAAGCAAGATACCGACAACAAGTAATGTTTTTTGCAGCCTATTTCATTCAAAGAAATTATACATAAGCATAAACTGAGTATCTGTAAAAGCTGTTATATAAAATAAAGTATTACATATTAAAGTAATTTCATAAATTTAATTAATTCGGGACCAGGTGAATACAGCAATATCACATATTACTAAAATTGTCCAACATCCACAAATATTATATATTGTTCTGATTTCCTTATAATTTTAACAAACTTTAAATGTTTGCCCTTAATTTTATTTTGCAGGTTACTTGTATTAGGTTTATTTCCTTTTTAATTCAGAAAAAACCCATAAGATATATCCAAGGACAATGCTTTGGAAAAACACATCACTTTTATCTGGAGACATTATTTACAATTATTCTGTCACAACTTTCTTCAAATCAAGAATTTAGCATTTGTTTTTGACTAGGCCTGCACTTTTTTGTGTGTGAGTGTGTCTTCATTCAAACTTCCTTACATTTGGCCACGTTCTCACCCTCCAAAAAAAAAAAAAAATAATAATCACAATCTCAGAGAGAAGGAGAGGAAGGCATCAAATGGAAAGACAAAGACTGGGACTGGAGAGGGAAAGGAAGACTGTGACTCCAGTCAAAGAACAACCACAAGGGCAGGAGAGTGGGCAGGAGGAGCTGGAGGAGAACCTGAGTGGCTGAGCATTCTGCTCAAAATATATCTTCAACCCCAGGAAACACAGATAGTGTGATTCATAGTAGGGGTTTCCAGAAATGTGTGGAACATAAAGCAAAAATAAGCATTACACTTACCACCATAATCTGTTATTATGGTGAAGTTTTGGCTGACAACCTCCTTTTCATGAACATGTGCAGTAACAGTGCAGTTGTAGTTATGGTCAGCTGCTAAATTGTTCAGCTCTTGACAATCAGAGGTTAAATTTGTAAAGGTTCGTGATAAAACTGTAGACACACAAAAAGTTTTTTCAATATTTTTGACAACTCTAAAAGTACACGGTACCATCTTAACTGGGATTTTGTCTACCACATTTATTCAGTACAATTTGTAATAAACTATCATAATATTCCAAAGAGAAAAGTGTAAAACGTAATCCAATGACTAGGGTTTAGGTTCTTATATACAAACTTATTTTGCATAGATCTTTACTTTTCATCAGGAAAGCTCATATGATTTCACTTTCTAACCGAACAGTTTTTCCACAGAAATCAAAGCATTTCATGGGACTCTGGAAGAACCCTGCAGTGGCTTCTTAGCTCTTCATCTCCCTGAAACATGAAATCTCCAGCCCTGGACATTCATCACATTTCTGGGACAATGAGGACATCCAGCATCCATATCTTCCTTACCACACTAGCTGCCTTTGAGCTAGTGTCTCCCCAGGCTGGCCGGCTCCAAGAGCAGAGAGCCTGGACTCTCACCATCCAGGAGTCTGCAGAGCCAGCTGGCCAGGTAGTCTGCAAAGGATCAGCTCACAGCAGACCCACAGATTGCAGGATTTCCAAACTCTCATCTCCCCTTCAGACCATCAAGCAGGACCTCAAAATCTCCAGAAGTTTGCAGTTTGTGAAGCTGGTAAACTCAGGAAATGAGCTCTATGGGTTTGAACTCTCCCCAGATTTGCAGTGTGTGGGCATGGCAGTCCACAGCATGGTGGTCCTAGAAATTCTGAAGAGCTCTTGCTTCAAACTGGCACAACTAATTTTAATCTGCCAGTCTCTCATCGAAAGATAACATCAACATTGCTTTTAAAAATAAATACAAGAATTTAAGAACCAACTTTTAAAATATTTTAGAAGTGTCTTACCTTTGCAGTTAATAGTTATATTAGCACAACGAAGTGATTTTTCCCAACATATTTTTGCAGATGTGTTGGTTTTTTCCCCAACTTTGAAAGGATTCTCACTGCTCTCTGAAAAGGATTGATATTATATGTCACTGTGACATTGGATATATTTATTCTTTAAATAGCAATTTGTTCCTTTATATTTGTTGACATGTTCTGCAATACGAAGATACAATTGGCACAGAATACTACACAAAGAATTTAACAAGAAATGGAAACTAAAAATTGAAAAGCCTACATGAGATAAAGACATTGCTGGTATTCAAATATTAAATGAAACTTTTAATTGAACAATCTCTTCAGTGAACAAAACATCCATCATAAATAGTAGCTTTCAAGTTCTAGGTGGTCTTGCTATTACTAACCATGCTGTATATGGCTAATGTCCCCTTTTTTCCCTTTACAATGAGAAAATTACATTTTTTTACATCCTACTTTAAGAAAATACTGTGAGGTTCTAAGGTACAACTTTAAAATGCAGAATATCTTGTAAACCAAGCATGAAGTATGAAAATATTCTGTCTGATTGTCTGAAAAGACACATGAATAGGCTAAGAAATCCAGGAAAGCTGAATTACTGTTTGTTAAAAAGAAGGGAAAAAAAAAAAAAAAGAATAAACTACTAAAACCCTTTTATACCTACCAGGTGGAATAATAAGGTAAGTATCTGCGCAATTGCTAACTTTAAGTGTGTATTTTTTGCATCTCTGAAGTTTTACTGTATTGGAATTTGCACTTAAGTTCATGTTAGTCTCCAGAATAACATAGTCTCTGTTTTCTCTGAGATTTTTCAGTGTAACTTCTGACATGTTCTCATCTTTTACACTTGTTATGCTGTCAATAGCAGCATCTAAAAGAAAAAGGATAAAATAGTAAACAATGATAAAGTGTAAAATAGTAAACAATTTTTAAGAACTATTAAATGTTTTATGGCATCCCTAAAATCATATGTGTTTTAAGAATCAGAAAATGCAGCAAAAAAATGCTGCTTCTTATTCTGTATTTTTAATTTATCTTTTAGTTTAAAAAATTGTTTAGTCAAAACAGGAAATTTCCTTAGGAAAATATTCTTGTAACTAATTCTCAAGTTATGAAAACGAAAGCATTAAAAAGATGAACATTCCAGACCAGATTTGTTTTAATTTAAAATGTCAGTTCAACATGAAATACTTTGTTTTGACACACTGAATTGTTTGTTTGAACACAAATTTCAAATTTTCTTATTCAAAGCATTTCATTACCATCTAGTAAATAATGGCTATAATTTATTCCCCAAAATTAGAAAGGAGAGGTCTCTAATTCCGAAGAGAGATAAACCAATGTCCAAAACTTTAGTTTTACTTCAGCTATGCATTGCAGTTTGGAGCATGTGCTTATCAGCATGATGGGGAAAAATTAGAGAGGACCTAGTGGAATGAAGGCAGATCTCTTCTGCAGCCCGGAAATCAACAGCCTAATACAGGCAATCTAACAGAACTGTAAATGGAGTTCAGAAGATCAGAGATGTTAATAACTTTAATCCTACTCTTCCAGAATTGGAAGACAGTTTATAGAATAACCTGAGATGCTAACTGATCAGCTTTCTGTGTTTGAGTTTACTGATTTGGTCAAATTTCAAGACTGAGGAAAAATAAGGTGTTTGGTTCTTACCACAAGGTTCTTTAGTGGTCACTGTGGGAGATTCTATAAGAAAAGAAAAGAAAATGAAGGTATAGCTCAGCAGGCTTGGGGTTTTTTTCACAGAGTATCGGAGGAGGGTGACTGGTACTGCCCAAAACTCTTAATTCAATATATTCAATACAAGTAATTGCATTTAGCACTCCACTCACATTTGAAAAAGGTAAAAAAACATCAGCTATATATAACCCCATTTTTTAACTAGTTATTTTAGGGATCATGTGTCTCTCATCATTTTCCAATTACATCACAGTAATCAGACTGGTTATTAATAACATTTCTACTTACAAAGCTACAAAAATTCCAAAATCACACATTCTGATTGCAGTATGATAAGCTACAGAAGTTTCCCAGGATACGTATGCTGTGGAATGGCTAACTGAACAGTATCCAGTGTCACTAAAGAAACAAAATTTACCTACTTCTTGCACAGCTACTCTTACCTTTGGAAAGAGATTTATGCAACAGTACAGATCGATTTACAACTATTTTTACACTGAAGTACCCAGAAGAAATTATGAGCTGGTACTTAGAAAATCTGTATGGAAGCTTGAGCAAAGACCTTCATCCTGAAAACAATTACTTAAAATATACTAACGTGTAAGTATTATCAAAAGAGACTGATATCTAATTTCTTTTTAGAGAAAAGAAAAAGCCTTAGATTTGCATCCCTCCAAGCTGGGAGACATCTGGCTGAGTAGTGATGGGTAAAGGGAGAAGGTAAACAGAGAGTCTAGTGGAGAGTTACTGAGATGGTTAGGGGCAGAAGACCCACAGGTAAAAGCTAAGCTCAGTCTGTCAAAGAGATGACAGCAGCCTACAGCTACTTGAAGGGCAGTTACAAAGCTGGTAAGAGTCCAACTCCTGGATGGACTTTGCTCAAGCACACACATGTATTTTACTGACCGGAGTAATTCCTTACAGCCCAATTGCGATAATAGTGTGTGTGAGTGCTTGCAATATTAGATCCAAAGAAAATGCTTATGCTGAGTAAAACAAAAGGGAAGCCATCAGAAAAAAAAAAAAAAAAAAAAACAAAAAAACCCCAAAAAAAACAAAACAACACCCCCCCTTAAAAAAAAAAAAAAAAACAAAAAAAAACCCAAAAAACAGAAAAAGTACAGAGATCTTGGATGTACTCATACTTTCTTGTTGCTTGGGGAAATTTCTGTGAATATCAGGAGAAGTACTGACACAGTAATTGACAGATTTACCCTCCTACTATGTCACTGTGTGGAAATAATTTATATTTTTCACTTGTTAGACAAGTAGAAAATCTGGTATCTTTAATATTACTCATAGACTATTAATAAGATTCCTATAAAAACCCTTGTTTAATGCAGTTGTATGCCTAATTTGTATCGTTAGGTTTGATAAAAGAAATTCAAAATGAATTCACTCATTCTAACACATTTTCTGTGCTTGCTGTATCATAATTGCAATGACTGTGTGCAAGTTTGTCACCTATTGTGTGAGTGGGGATGATCCCAGTGTTTGCTGGCATGCTGACTGGTGAGATGGTGCTGTGCAAGGATGTTGAACTGTAATCATCTGTAAGAAAATAAACAACATATCAGCATTAAAAAGTAAAATTCCTTATTTCATGTGGCTATATCATCAGAAATGTCTTACACTAGAGCCCTCAGCTTTTTTTTCCTTACAGGACTTTTGTAACTTAGAGAAGGGTGCTGAAAGAAAAAGCATGTTAATATATCTAATAAAACAAAAAAAATGAATATTTAAATAGAAAACAAAACTCTAGGAACATACCACTTACTAATGAATTTTTCCATGTACAAGGACAAATTTTTTTGGTCATTAATTAGGCATGACTCCAGGATGGAGTCAGCATAAAAATGGCATTAATTGTGAACTGGGAAAAATGAAAGCATTTTGCTATATTCTTATAGTAAAACACAATTATGAATAGTGCTTTTGCTCTCTCTGAAACAAGCACTCCAGTGGTGTTCGTTTGCCAGATCACACACTTTGCTCACTATATTTCTTACTATATCTCAGTATTTATCTCCCTGCTTATAAACCACTGACAGATTTCTGCACTCTCTTTTAGGTCCATTCCTATTGCTTTGGCAACAGCTTCATTGACAGCAGCTGGCATTTTGATACTGCTGTGATAACTACAAGACTTGGCCATCAGATACCAGATCCTGCAAATAACCCGAATTGCCACTAGGCCAAATTGCAGATACCTTTTCTATTTGATGAACCATAAGCTAGAAAGGCTACCCCGAGGCTTAATTACTTCATTTTCCCCTATAGTAATTAACTAGCTTTCCCCTACAGTTCAGAGAGCAGTGAGTGGCATCTAAAGGAATACAGCAAACCTGATGAAGCATTCCTGAAGTCAATAGGAGTGCGTGTGGTGAGGGCAGCAGTGCTGCTGTGTGGTGGGTTGCTGAGTCCCCTGGCAGGGACAGAGCCTGTGTGCGTGGACAGGTATGTGCTGTCTGCAGAAGAGACACCTGTGGTGAGAGGTACAGCAGTTTCGTTAATGCTTTGGAGGCTTTCCAGTCAACGACACAAAGCTGCACAAAACACAGGGCTGCTGTGCTGGAGCGCTCTCGTACTGAGGCATCGTGAGTTTGTTAGTAAGCAAAGGCACACCGAACGCTCACAGTGTTAGGGGGTCCAACTGGGGTCAGATGAACATCCAGTAAGCATAATCTTTTTTGGCTCTGACTGCACCTCTTTCATGCTAAATGCTATGTTTTAAAATATACTCAACTTCATGACTCAAAACCAGACTTGTCTGATATTCTCGCCTTTTAAGACAGCATATTTCATTTAATTGGGCTGAATGAAAAGGCATTACACACTCTGTGAGATAGTTGTGCACAGGAAAAGAAGAAATCATCAGAAAAATACATCAATGCAGTTCTGTCATGTAAATTAAAAGTTTCTTACCAGGTGTACTTGCTGCTGACTCAATTCCTTAAAAAGAGAAAGAGAGAGTTTAAATTAAACTTTCAAGGAATTAAACATGTACCAGTCATGTACCAAAAAAAATATTAAAAAGAAACATTCCTTCCTCCCAACTATCAGCTGAGCTTTCCTCAGTGAATTACACATTCTTAAGTAATATTTAATAGCATGTAGCAACAACCAGACCCCCAAATTATCAAGCATATGATACATGGGCTGATATTGTCCACATTAAAAATCACTTTTCCTTGAAGCAGGAGTCTGTGCTGTGCAGCCTGAGGGGTGGAGACAGCATCAGAAAGGCTGCAGTGGATGTCAGTTCAGCTGAACAGAAGAGCAGCAATGCCATGGTCCCGAATTCACCATTACCTTCAGTGGTGCCTGCAGGTGAGAGTGATGTGGAGCGTGCAGGTGGAAGTGACATAAGGGAGGGAGAGCTGGTGTTTGCCAGATTTTCATGTCCTGCTGCACAGTGGGGAAAAAACATCATCAGGTGAGCAATGCATGAAAGTGAGAAGCTCTATTGCAAGCAGAAAGGCTGCTCACTGCTCTCTGAATTACATTCCTCCCTCCAGCACTGACAAACTTGCTTGCATTGCTTTCCAGTTCCTGCACAGACTGTGGAACACAACTGCTTGGATTTATTGCAAGAGCATGGCTTGCAATTAAGTTTGCAAGACCACTAATTCCAAATTCCCACCAATTTGTCTGGGATGCCATTTTGGCAAGGAGATTTGATCATCCTTTGGCAAGGTATGGGGGATGCACTGATTACAGGGGTTCAGAAACACCAGCTGGAGGGGGTGAATTAATGCACAGCTTGCAGACTGAGTGGGGTGGTTTTGAGGGGGTGAATTAATGCACAGCGTGCAGACTGAGTGGGGTGGTTTTGTTTAGTGTTGTTGATCCATGAAACACCCTCTTCCCACACTCATCAGATACTGCTGTGGAGTCTGAGGAGCTCTGCATGAATTTCAGGGAAGTGCCACTGTGACAGCTCAGCATGAGACTCTCATCTGAGAGCTCAAAGGGAAGGGATGTCCATAAGGAAAATATGAACTCATAACAACAGCAGGTTATAGCTTGAATTCTAATGGCTTTCTTCAAAAAATGTGTTCCAAATCCCCACCTTTAATTTAATTAAAATAAAAAAACTAAATATGTCCTCATCACGTTAACAAATTTTGCTGTAGTACAATTGACCCCAGACGACGTAAGTCACCAGATTGCTTTAACAACGATGGAGTTAACCAATGCGTGATAGAAGTAGATGTCAGTTCAGCTAAAACAGAAAAGCAACAATGCCATGGTCCTAAATTCACCGTTACCTTCAGTGGTGCCTGGAGGTGAGAGTGATGTGGAGTGTGCAGGTAGAAGTGACATGAGGGAGGGAGAGCTGGTGTTTGCCAGATTTTCATCTCCTGCTGTATAGTGGGGAAAAGATACCACCAGGTGAGCAATGCATGAAAGTGAAGTTCATCTACAGTAGAAAAAGGCCAACGGTTTGTATGGCTTTCTCTGAACCACGTTTCTCAGGACAGATTTGACCGAGGAATACTTAAATGTTTTCATGTTTACCAATTTATTTTGCAATACCAAAAGCTAAAACTCTCAAAATCTTTCATATCATCACACAGCAGTGTATACAAGTACAAGCAATATCAACAAATAGAGGGTGATTTTTTTGCTGAATTAAAAATTACTTCATTGGTAAGAAGAAATACCAACGCTAATTCTGTCATCAAGAAAAGTCTTACCTGTCTATAATCCTCGCTATAAAAGATCTGTAAAGCCAAGCCCCAGAATTCCTGAAAGACATTTACTTTCCCTAATATTAATTTCTAAATGGCTGCACCCTTCCTGGACCATCCTGCTGATATTTAAGAATCTCTCCAAAAGACTCTTATCTCCAGATTATAAATCACCTCCTGACTTGAACTGTGAGCTATGATCTTCTCACACCTATAAAAACAAGCATCATTTTTACACTCTGAGATCCTGACCCACAATATTTTTTATTTGTGTAATGTAAAATTTATATTGCGAGAAAGACAGACAAAAGTAAATGTCAATGGCTGGAACCATGAGTTTGTTCTCATCACTGTATGTTTTAATCATTTTGAGCTTCCACTTTGACATAAGAGTCCTGAAATCCATCCTGAAAGTATGCCTGTTCCCTCAAGGTGTCTCTCTCTAACAGACTGCTATGCTTTCAGCTAGGAACAAACCCACTTGTTCACACATTCCTTGCTGTGACTGTCCACAAACTTCCATCCGCCCATTTGGATCTTCCTTTCTCTCCCATCTCTTTGCCACTTTATTTCTTTCCTGGAATTTTTTTTTTTTTTAGGGGGAGGAGGCATCTGCCTTTTTCAGATAGTTCCTTACATGGTACCTCATAACTGTTGTAGCTCTACTCTTTTGAAAACTCCTTCGACCTTTACAGCTAAAATCCAGGTTTATGTGAGAAACTGCAATGCTTATGAAGGATACATGTTCTATTGCTCTGTTCATGTGCCAGCATCAAAACATTGTCTCTTATCTCTGACACAGAAGCTCAACATAGGCAGATCTCCCAGTACTCCACAGATTTTCTCGTTACCGACCCAACAAGCCGCAGCACACATTGGCTGCTCAACAGCCACCATGGATTCATGCACCCTGTATGGACAGTTCAGAAGACCAACATCAGCCATTAAGAAAACACGACCAGTGATGACAAAGTGACCTGTGGAGCCTGAGCAATTTCTTTATGCTCAGAACTATCATGAAATCTGTATAAATCATGATATAAAAATGAATGTAAACAAAAGCTAAAATATTGTAGATACTTTTCTAGTGAGCAGTTGAGCTTGCTGTGGACTGTACATTATTCAAGATCTCTTCCTAGAAATTAAAATTTGGAAAAAGCCAGTAGTCTGATATTTAAAAGAAAAAGTATCTACAGAAGTCACATGAAGCTCAGCTAAAAATAGTAACGCAAAGCTAGCTACTTCATTCTTTATAGAAGTGGGGAGGGATGTTGCCTAAAATCTGGTCCATGAAATTAGGATATGGGCCTGCCTACAGTTTGTCTGAAATCATGTGAAATTGTCAAAATAAAATTGCTCTTAATTGTAAGAATATAATCTGTAAAAAATGTAGTAGACTGACAAGACTGAATAAGACAGGTTCAGAAGCCACTATATTAACAGCTCTAGTATGCTAACTCATATCAATATACCTCCTCTGAAACACAGGACCACGCATACTTTTCAGAGCTACAGAATATCAGCAGATAAACCTTCCTAACCTGAGAGATGTTACAGATAAGAAACAAAAATATAGATGATCTTTTGAACTATCAATGTATCTTCAGCATCTGAAGTCTCCAGTAAGGACTGGAACATTTATTAACAGCAATTGTGTAATTTAACTGTATACATTAAACTGCCAAGGAACCTTGTAAAAGCTAACATGTACATTCATTCATATTTGTCATAAGCAATTACTTTTCAATGTATATTCATGGTTTTTAAATTCAGTGTCTGAAAGTTTGCAGTTGGTGACTCTAAATTCCATAATGATTTTTCTTTCTTCAACTGTCTTATCAGTTGAAGAATCAATTATTCCCCCTCCTTCTCAAATCTTATTTTGGTTCAGCACATTAAATATACCTCAGGCCCCAAATTAACTTTCTGTGAGCATCTACACAGATCAACTTTCACTTAAATAACTGCTTCCAAAAAAAGAATAAAAGGAGTTGCAGAAAAAGTCCTAAATGAAACAGCTCAGAAGTTAGAGAAACATTTAGAAATACTTTTCAAGCTATGTAGGGATCTCTAATGAAAACATGATGGAGACAAAAATATATACTTCAAGATTCCCTCTTCCAAGTGAAGTAGGATAACATAAGCATAAGAGGGCTCATAAGCTCATCGCAGTGTTGTATTTCTGTCTGCTTTTTTCAATTCCTTAAGATTCCTGTGAAACTCATTTTCCCCATCCTCTCCCTTGTAAAGTTAGGAGCAATGCTACTAGCTGAAATATAGCATGAGATTTATGCTCACTCAGTCGTAGTACTCGAGGTTGGAAGTGACCTCGAGAGATCATCAGTCCAACTGCCCTGCTCAGACCAGTGTCAACTACAGCAGATTCTTCTTAAAACAGTTTGGAAAATAATAGTCCTAGATTGCCTTTTTTCCCCTCCAAGTAAACACTGGCATTTTAACAGAATTTCATGGCAGCTTTATGTTCTTCAAAGCATTTTAAAGGTCTCCTGCTCTTCTGTGATTCTATCCTATTTTATGATTTATTTTATCTATGGAATAGAACACAGCTGAAAAGAACTCAATAGGTGGCACCAGAACACTAAAAAAATCATCTCAAACAGCAAAGCAGATACATTTCCCCATATAACCTTATTGAGAAATACTAAGTAAACTGAAGGAAAATAAAGAAGGATCCCAACACACCAGACTGTGTTACCCCAACATTAATAGACATATTGCTACAATTAATTTATTTTTCCCAAACTGTTCCACAGCTAACAAATATCTCTGAACTAACCTCAGGTTAACAAAGTTAACCTTGGAGTCAAAACTGTCTGCTCATGTTTATATTCTAAAACATAACTGGAATCTTGAAGGCTGAAATATAAGAATATCTTTAAAATTTAATGAGGATGTCCAATCCCCCAAAAATATGCTGTGCAGTATGAAAGCCTGATGATTACCAAACTAAACAAGTTGGTCTGGGTTTCAACAGGAACTATCCTAAACCATTTCTCAAATCTTAAACTGCATCCAGCCATAAGACTTTTTTAAGATAATATGCCTAAGATAGGTTCAGATAACCCAACTGGAAGAATTAAAGTATACAAAAAGTTCATAATACTGAAGGAACTTTTTAAAGCTTCCCTTTCCCTTCTCTTGAGTTGGACGACTTACTTGAAAGATTTACAGCGCACCAGTAACATTTGAGTGGATATGGCCTTAGTCTGGTGCCCTGCAAAAAGATACAACCAGCACGTCCCACAGGCAGATGGGAGCTTGGCTAATCCCTTTCCTCCCTGGTAACCAGTTGGCAGACAGAGTGCAGCTGCTGGTTGAAAGAAAGGTTTTAGATGGAATGCCTGTCAATGAAATGCACCTAAAATGGATAAGCTGACCACTCCTTCTCCTGAAAGCTCAAAAACATACAGGCCCTGTGAATGAAACATGGGACTGTCATATTTTGAAGAAACCTGTCAATGTTCAACAAGAAGTGTATATAGAAAAACTGTGGCCACAAAAAAAAAAAAAAAAAAAAAAAAAAAAAAAAAAAAAAAGCCAAATACTTCAAACCCCAAGGACAGCAGGCTGCACAGGTTTCATCTGGAGGTACAGGAGCTGCTATATTGCCACCACAGTAATGACTCCACACCCACTGCAGTGAACTGTGGTCACACTCCTCACACTCATATAAGAAGTTACTGCTCACTGCTGTCCTCTCAGGAAAGACAGAATACGGTAAAAATGTGTTCCACTTGTCAGGACCAAGTGACTCAACAGAAGACAACTCAGATCTAGGATATGTTAAAAGACACTGTGTTCCAAGTAAGTCCAGGGTCTGATCTGCTCGAGCAGAAGGAAGCACCAGCACACATTTCCTGTGCTTGTGTGTTATTAAAGGAAACTCTAGCTGATAAGATGGAGGTACTGTTGAATCTGCATTGAGAGCCTAAAAACATTATCATGTTTACATGGGCAAAAATACATAAGACGATGACAGGGAACATGCCTTTTAACTCCATTCTGCCACTTCATTTGCACAGTGAGCAAAGTGGACCTGTTATTTTATTTCCTGCTGGGCTGGGCAGGGGCCTGTGCTTGCACACCAGTAGCTCAGGCTGTCCCCTCTGAGCACAGGAATGCTGCAGTATTGCATTCCTTGATGCACACACCATAGAGAAATGTTGCAAGGAGGATCCCTTTCTGCTAATAGTGCCTTTGGTGTTTTATCTAGCGTGGCACCATAGCAGCTGGCTCTTCGCATCCAGCTGCACTCTGCATGTCTCTGCCAGACCTGGGGAGAGGGCAGAGGAAGTAATCCTTCCTCTCAGCTTTGTGTTTGCAAAAACATTGGCAGACGGGTTTTTCTGCCAGGAAAAATGCTTAGTAATTCTGCAGATCTGCTGCCCTTTTCTCAGGATCTCTCCACCCTTTGGCATATTGGACAGACCCCAGCAATCCTCATCAAGCATCACTTTACACAAAGCAGCTAGTGTAGGTCCAGATCTTGTCTTCTCTCTTTTTACAGCTGAACAGCACTGCTTCAGCAGGGTCAGGGCTCTTCACGTCTGCACAGAAAGCAACAGGATGTGGTCTACTTGTTCAGATGGAGTAAAACTCTTTGAGGGGTTCTTCTAGCAAACAGCACAGACATTAGCTCCACTGCAAGCCAA